ATGACGTCATCCACACCTGCACTATGAAAGCTCTGTGTGTATGTGTCTTTGGAAAACAAGGCATATATATGAATGCAGCTACAATTAACTGGCCAGTAAGACTGGCCTATTTGGGCTTTTTGTTCTTTTGGATATTTTTGAGACAGGGTCTTATTCCATTGCCTTGAACTCCCAATCCTCCTGCTTCAGCCGCCAAAGTGAAGTCTAACCTGTATGTATAAAAGATGGCTCTCCATCCATTGCAATAGCTGCCCAGACTGGTACTCCTTGAATTCAGGTAGAGCCATGTGGCTGGCTCTGGTCAACTTTATATGAGCAGGGGGATGCTCCCCGGGCTAGTGGAGGGAATCAGTACGGTAAGCCTCTATGCTCCTTCTGTCTTGAGGGACTGGAGACCACAAGGTCACAATGGCGGCCTCACAAAGAAGGAGGGACCCTGACACCCCTGACTGGCATGAAGGAGAATTGCCCAGGAGAGCTGCCCAGCCTAAAATAACCAACTTGGTTTTGTGCAAACTACCAACTCTCCTTGGACTAAGCCACTACGTGTTAGAACTCTTTGTTTCCGCGCACAGCACACCTCAACAGAATATACGCTGAAGTACAATGTATATTAAAAGGTTTCTAGCCGGGCAGTGGTGGCGCACGCCTTTAATCCCAGCACTCGGGAGGCAGAGGCAGGCGGATCTCTGTGAGTTCGAGACCAGCCTGGTCTACAAGAGCTAGTTCCAGGACAGGCTCCAAAGCCACAGAGAAACCCTGTCTTGGGGAAAAAAAAAAAAAGAAAAAGAAAAAGAAAGAAAGAAAATGCTCTTTAAAAAAAAGGTTTCTAAGTAAAAGCAAATAGAAAGATTCTTATATGTAAGAAAAGCCTGCGAGTTACAATTTTACCATCTTAGATAAATTTTTTTAAAAAATCTCAGCAACAGGAACAGCTGTGTTAGGTAAATTCAAACTGGTGTCTCACCTTCTAATGATATGCAAATGCTCCCTCACCACTGGGTACTAAACAAAGCAGAATACACCATACAAATACATTTGGAAAAAGAATAAACCAAAAGCCAGCCTTCAAGTTTACCTCCTTGGGGCAAACCTTACTTCCTTTCAGAGGCCAGCTCTACAGCTCGTGGAGGAACACTTGCCCGTGTACTGTGCAGTCCCCAGTACAGGGTTCCTCGACTTTCCTCTTTATACGAGAGCCCCCTAGAAAATAACACAGACACTTGCCTTCCGAAAAGAACGCAACTATGTATCTCTTCCCTCTGTGGAGGCATGAGGATGTGATGGGACGGACAGGTGATGCCATCCCAGGGTCTCTAAGCACCCTAAACTGTCCCTGAACTCAGTGCTGATAACAGTCTGGTACTGGGGCATCATAAACAGAAATGTCTACCCTAAATTTTTATTTTAAAATTTTAAAATACTATTGGGGGAGAACGATAAAATTATATTACAATCTCAAAAAAATAATAAATAATTTAAAAAATACTATTAAGTTCGTAGAGTACACAACTTCCTGTCATGTTCTCCCCACCCCCACCCCCACCCCCGGCTGTTAGCCAAAATCGATTTTTCTGTCCCTATAAATTGGATTACACTAGGTGAGGTGTCTCATAAGTAAAACCACAGAGTCTGCACCCTTCACTCCCCATGATGTCTTCTGGGTTGGAGTAGCATTTTGTACTATTGGCTGGGTAGCCTGCAGCCGTAAATCACAGGAGTGACCTAGTGCATTTAACATTCTGAATGGCAACATAGTGTCCAGAACATGCTCCCTAAGTGCCAAACCCAGCTTGGACACCGACCCCCTGCCCACAACAGCATGCCTTGGAAAAGGTGGATTTCCAGGGCTGGCTGGGATAACGTGCTATGGAAAGATCCACGTGGAACAGGAAATGAGGTGGTGGTGTCCCGACAGGACATGGGCCAGGCACTGGCATCCTGCTGGTGACCGCTACTTAAAAATAAAACAACAGAAGACAGACATGCTGCTGTCCATCTGTCTTCCAGGCGCCCAGGAAACTAAGGAGGGAGGACTGTCATGGACTTGAGGCCCTCACAGCCATATATCAATGCCTGCCTCTAAATAAACAAAGCTAGGGCTGGAGAGATGGCTCGGCAGCTAAGAGCAATCGCTGCTCTTCCAAAGGACTTAGGTTCAGTTCCCAACACTCACTCCAAGGCCCCTCTTCTGATCGCCAAGAGCGCCGCACACATGTGGTGGACAGACTTACACGCAGGCAAAACACCCATATTCATAAAATAAAAATCTCAAAAATATTTTTAATTAAATAAATAAATACAATTTTACACGTGTCACTTTTTCAAGTGGCATCTACATACCTTGTTGCTTTCACGCTACCCACTCCTAACTATTGCCACCTAAGGGTGCCATGAAGAACGTCCTTACACACTAAGAACTGCAAGGCCCCTGCAGGAGTCTTTCCTTCAACTGAGATTTCAGAGCTAAGACAGCCACTTAAAGCACTCTGAGGCAGAGGCAGGAGGATCTCTGTAGGTTGGAAACCAGCGTGTTCTACTTACTGAGTTCCAGGACAGCCAGGGATGTGCAGAGCCCCTGACTCAAAGAGGAGGAAGAAGAGGAGGGGGAAGAGGAGAAGGAGAAGACCACTGAAGAGATTTATGTGTGCTCTTGAAAAAATAACAACAACACTGCACAGACATACAAAGAAGGAGGAAGAAGAGTTTGGGCAAAAGCCATTTCCAAAGCTCACTCTCAGTCAGCTTAACCCTTCCCAGCCCCAACAATGCTCCCTGGATAGTTGTAATTTTTATAAAATTTACCCTGAGATACAAAGACGCAAATAACTGTGATACAAAGACACAAATAACTGTTTTCCAGATTCTCCGGGACTCAAGCAAGCTTTTTAAATTAGAGTCTCCAAGCGTGCTGGAAGAGACAGGGTCTCTGCACAGACTGAACACACCCTGAGTCCACTGCGGTCGGGACCGCTCAGACAGCAAGCCTTCATGCATCTTTCTGCTTTACTCTTGCATCCTGCTTTTAACTTGAGAATGCACTAAATTACTTCCGAAACGCTTGTTTGGACATTTCCCTTCCCTGGGGTTTTTCATTAAGCAAAGGGAGAATTAAAACAAAATCCAGAACAGTGATTTGATGGGGGGGGGGGGAGGTTACTGCTCTGGCTCTGCAGCTGGTACCTGCTAGTTAGTTACTCTTGTCTTACGTGTCTCTGAGCATCTGATTCCGAGAAGACACCAGAGGACAAGACAGAGGACGCTGGGAATGAGAAGTGTGCTCTGTTACTAAGCTGGGTTATAGCATAAGTAATTGGCTTTTATATAGAAGACAGGCTTTGGAAACATGTAGGGACTGAAGGGGAGGCTAAGGCTAACGCTCGCTGCCACCACAGACAAACAAGGAGTAACAGTTGTTTTGTTTTTAAGACAGAATTTGCTGTTTATCCAGGCTGGCCTCAACCTGATGCTGATGCCTCAGGCTCCAGAGGACTGGGTTACAGGTACACACCATCAAACCTAGCATTTTTCTTATTTATCTATTTTTATTGATGCACACTGATTGTTTTGTTCACATGTATGTCTATGTAAAGGTGCTGGATCCCCTGGAACTGGAGTTGCAGATAGTTGTGAAGTTGAGAGCCACCGTGTGGGTGCTAGGAATTGAACTGTGGTCCTCTGGAAGAGCAGCCAGTGCTCTGAACTGCTGAGCCATCTCATCTCTCCAGCCCCCTAAACCTAGCATTTTTATTGTGATGGTTTTAGTTCTTTGTAAAAATCATCTTCGGTTATACTTTATAATACCGTACCACTAATTGCTTTCTGGTCCCTAATTTTCCTTCATTTTTTTTCCCTCTGCCTGCCCCCTCCGCATACTGAAGGGCAGAAAACCCTTCCAACTGTAATATAAAAATTTCCTAGTTTATTTTTTGGTACCAATTTACTTATGCTGTGTGTGGATGAACCACAGTCCATGAGGAGGTCAGGAGTCACAACTTGTAAGAGTTGGCTCCACCTTGTCCAACCTTCTGGGAACCAAATTCAAATTGTCCAGTGGCAAGAGTCTTTGCCAACTGAGCCGTCTTCTGGCCACCATGTTGTCAGTACAAAGAGAAAAAAACCAAAACACCTCGTTCATCATATGCTGACCACACAGTAGGAATTATTCAGGAACTAATGGCAGCTACTCACGGAACAACTATTTTAAGGATGAGCAATCGTTACTCGAAGTCAACACGAGACAACCCTGCACCTGGGTGTGACTGGTCATTCATTGCCCAAGGTCTTTTCATTACATTTGATCTCTATCAGCTTTAACATACTTGGCTACCATCAGCCAAGGGGCTCACAGGAAGGATGCCCGGCATGGGAAAACTCGATGCCAACTTTGAGGGTTATGTTTGACGCTTTCGGTTCACAGTTATAAACATTAAGACTTCAAGGTGTGAGTTTTCCGGTCACACACTTAACTGGTCGCTCACTCAGGGCTCAGTCTCATGCCACCCAAGTGGCAAGCAAATACACACACACACACACACACACACACACACACACACACACACACACACCCCTTACAACCACATGAATCCTGTCGGTGCACTTCTGGGGACGCATTGCATTCTTGGCGAGCTTTCCAAAGCGCAACTCTTTTTGGGTCAACAATACTGTTTCCCTTCCCTCCAGCTCCCCAAATCTACAGGAAGCGTCACACTTCAATGCCCTAGGCAAGTGAGAGAAGCCTGAGCCTGAGAGGCGGCTCACAGGCCCTGAGGCCCCGCAGGTCCGGCTGCGCTCCAATGACCGTGGAGACTGGCATTGCCCCGGGAGGCCGGAGGGTCTGCAGGGGATGCACCCACACACACGCGCGACGCCAACCAAGAACGCCTGGAGGGGGAAGGCCAGCAAAGGAGGGCGACCCCTGCTAGCGGCGTCCCCTCCCGTCCCCCAGAACGATCTCTGAGGATTACCAGCACCCGAAGGAACAGGTGAGAGCCCAGTACCTTCTCTCCAGCGCCGGCCGGCCGCTCCTCACGGAGCTCGCGGGCCGCTGCACTCCCTGCCAGCAGCCGCTCGCCCCGTGCTCCGCCGCTCGAGGTCTGGACGCCTTAGGGGCCCGCCAGCCACACCCATTTGTCACGCCCACAGGCTACGCCCCGCGGGTCACGCCCCATCCTGCTGTCCGCAGCGCTGCAGCGCCCCGCGGTGGCCACTGGCCACTACGCCGCCCACGCCTCGGGCTGCAGGACAGCCGCTGATGGTTGTTTCTGCAGCTGCAGCAGGCTCAACTGACGAGAGGACTGAGCAGAGAACCCTCCTGCCCCCACCTGTGGCCATGTACAAACTGACCGGTTGGAGCCAATGGAAGCTCAACACCGAGGAAGCTGCAGAGCGTGGAGAACCCTCTCTCCCACTGCCACGGGCAAGGGCACCAATGCCCACCCACGCGTTCCGAGTGGACTTACGTGCTGTTGTCTTGACTATTTTTCTCTCGCTCTTTCACAGCTACTTTTTCAGTACCTAGAAGAGCTCCCTGGGCAGCAAAAACTAGGAGTAACCACTCCATAAATGTCACCAACTCCTGGCCTGTGTGAGACTCTGCCTCAAAAAGGAGAGAAACGGGGCGGGGGTGGGGGTGAGGGATGCTACTAAGAGATTTACAGAAGTGGGGAACGCAGCCTAATGTAAGCCAAAGGTTACTTCAAAGTGTGTGTTTATTCAAATTCATAGCACCCCCAATGACCAGGCACAGATAATCGATGCCAGTTCCTCCTCATTATGTGAATGTCGGTCTGCTCAGGACAAATCTTTATGGGGCAGGCTGGGAGCTCAGTGGGTAAGTGCTTGCTGCTAAAACGTGAGAACCTGCATTCAAATCTCCGGCGCCGATTTAATCCCCAATCTTGAAGGACTGGATCTCATTGACCCCTTTGCTCACAAAAGCCGAGGTGGACGGATCAACAGGCTGAGAAAGTGAAACTTCAGTCTTACCCGAGGCTGGGGCTAAGTTTGCGGTGAAGTTCATTATTTTCCGTATCCTCTCGGGAATATGGCTGGTTTCCAAGGAAAGACAAACACGAAGGCCCCTCCTCCTCTTAGACTATTTGTTTCCCTCTGGTCTCCTTATCCACTAGGAGAAACTCCAAAATCCCCGCCCACCCTAGGAGAGGGTAAATACATGATCCCTCAAAACTATTTGGGAATACCCCCATCTTCGCGGCCCTAGCCGCTGTTTTATTTAGCAGAATGTGAAAACTCCCCTCTGGGTGAATTAGTTGATGTCATTCCCTACCCGGAACTGTTGGGATAGACACATTTCCTTTCCCTGCCTGGTAGCTCCAGGTTGCTCTGCCAGCAGGTCTCAACGACGCTCTAGAGTTCCCAAGGCAGAGCAGGTACACGTGACATTTCTAAGTGATTATTTCTCTCTCAGCCACACTGAGAAATTGTCTTCCCTCCCTAGGGATTAATATGCAGTTAACAGCTGCTGAAGGTTGGCATTTTCTTCAGTGGTGTGGCCCCTGGTGAGGGGACCATGCTCCTGTAGACAATCCAAATGAAATTCACTGGTTGGGGTCATTTTTTTAAAAAAAAGAACGGAAGTAGAAGCGGGGGATGGATGAAGAAAGAAATAGGTCATTGAAAGCAAATCCAGAAGAGAACGAGAGAATAACGGGAGTGACTCTGACTGAAACCGACTGTTGAATATAATTAACATATGCTAATAGAAACTAAAGCGCAAAGGTTTTCCTAACTAGTTCCCTGAATAAACTCCCTAAGACACAGCCGGCTCACTTCCCTGAGAGGCATTTAAAGCTTTAGCGTCAGTCACAGTGAGATGGGGTTTAAACTATATTCGTGGGCCGCGGGAGCAGTCACGCTGAAAAGAACAAAAAGCCATCCCGCCAGGCACGTGAGGGCTCCCGGGGAGCTGACTAGTCTGCGTTTGTTCCCCGACTTTGATTAATGGGAATTCCAGGCACTGGCTGAGCTGGCTTGGAGATCTGATCTCCAAGGAGCCACAGTTTAGAGAATGAAAAGAAACTCTTAAATCTTCCTCAGACTTCCTGGGTTTGAGGAAGGCCCCCCAGTCAACAGCCCCGTTCTTGCTCTGTGGTTGACCCAGGCATAGCCTCAGTTCATGACACGGATAAGCCAAAGCTTGTTGTTCTGCTAGTCACACACTAAAAATCCTTGGAGTTTATAGTTTGGGGTGGCTATTAATAAAACTACTATAAACATTTATAAATATATTTTTTAATTACATTTATTTATGCATATGTTTGTGTGTGTGTTTGTCAGGGGAAACAGGAGGGGGTGTAGAGCACTGCTTTAAAAAAAGCATTGGAGGAACAAGGCTTGTTAAACGCGTGGCTTATTTTCTTCAGAGACCGATATGATTAATGCCTGGTCACCCAGAAGGCTGGAGTGGATGTTGTCTGACCCGGTGATCTTTTTGCTATTCTATGGAGTCAGCCTTCCTGCACGTCCCAAATCCTGGCCATTGTTTAGTCCTGATCTTGAGCCCTGTCTCGCAGTGAATAGAATCCATCTTATGAAAGAGGTCCCACGTTCTTTGCAGTTTCCACTAATAGAATCTATCCTTTTGCTAATTACAAATCACTCCTCCTTCGGCCCTAGCCCTGAGCTCTGTTTACCAGCCAGCAGAACTCAGGTTCTTTTCACAACAGTTAGAGGGTGGCTCTCAACTGGATGTGACTCTCGTTCTAGGAGAGCCAGTGTCCTCCGCAGGCACTGGGCATACACATGGGGCACAAAGACATGTGTAGGTAAAACACTCATGCACATAAAATAAAAATAAGCAAATATTCCAAAAGAGGAAGAAAGGAAAAGCTCAGACATTTTCTGCCGTCATTTGTTTTTGCATTCCCTGTCAGGTTTGGAGCAGAATCCCACAGTGATGAATCGGTAGCAAAGCCCGAGGGACAAGATTCCACACAGGCAACCATACAAGTTCACCTGGCAGCAGCTGAAAGCAATAAAGAATGTCATCAAAGGAGAGGCCCTCGAGTTAAAGGAATTTGGATAAGGTATGTCCAAGTGGAACCTTCACAGCTTATAGAAATTCCTACAATCTCTGTCCAAAGTCTACAAACATCCTGAGAACATTATGTTACAAGGGAGACGGAGACAGGAAGGTCCCTGGTCTCAAGAAGGTAGAGGCCAGCCTGAGGAACATAAAGAATCCAATATCTAAACAAACAACAAAAAACAAAGCAGCAGGAACATCGACAACAAACTGGTGATGTCATGAACAAACATGTTAGTTGAGAGGGAAGAGAGTCTGAACCCTGAATAACAACAGTGATGATTTAATATCTTTTTAAAATTTTGAAAATTTATTTGAGAGTGTTTGTATCAGCTCCTGTATGGAAGTTGCTTTCAAAGGCCAGAAGCATCAGATTCCCTGGAGCTGGAGCTACAGATGGTTGTGAGCCATCCAGTGCGTGTGCTGGGAATTGAACTCTGGTCCTCTGGAAGAGTGGCACGTGCCTGCCTGCATTAGTTATTGTTGTGGCAAGATATCATGACCGAAGGCAACTGTAGACAAAGGAGTTTATTTCTGCTCATAGTGCCAGAGGGCTAGAGTTCAGAACACTGGAGTGGTGTGGCCACAGCCAGGCATGGCAGTAGGAGGAGGAAGTTGAGAGATCACATCTTAGTTGCACACAGAAAATAAAAGAGGGGCAGGGGACAGGAGTGAAACAAGGCTATACCCCCTAGGTGATGTTCAAGACTGTACCAGGCCGGGCATCTCTCATTCAAACCATACAAGCACTCTTATCTGCTGAGCCACCCCTCAGGCTCCAGGAACCATCTCATCAATGCCATTGTGGAATTAATAGTGTAACGCGGTGCTTTTGTGGTCTGTCAAAAGGAACTGTAGCGTGGTTTGAAATTTGTGCTGTCTCTTTTATTAGTAAACAAAAACACAGCTTCTTGTTGGATGGAAACAACAACAATGATGGTTTGCACCTCTAACCATAGCACTTTGGACTGGAGGCAGGAGGATCGCTGGTTTGAGCCAGCTTGGGCCACATGGCAAGATCTCATCTGGAGAAGAAGGAAGAAGAAAACAACAAAGAAGTTGGTGGGTAGACCTTTTCCGGGCTGGAGTCAGCAGTGCAGTAAATCACCAGAGAACATCTCTCTCTAGCCTGCACTTCCGTCATGGGTTTCAGTCTTATGCCTGTTCCCTCATGGTTGTAAGATGGCTTGCTCACCTCGAATGCCCATGTTTCTAAGCAACCTTGTTCAGAGCTGAAAAGCGAGACTGGGAAGGTGGCTCAGCTGGAAAAACGCTTGCCACACAAGCGTGAGGACCGAGCTCAGATCCTCAGAACCCTTGTAGAAAGCTGCGAGGCAGCACACACGTGAAAGCCAAGTGACGGGGAACAGAGACAGGTAGGTTTCTAGGGCTCCACACATGCAATGTCATGTGCATGTGCACAAACAGTTGAACATATAACATATACCACATACACATACACAAGTGCATGATTTAAAAATAAAAGAGACACTGGAGCTACAGCTTAGTTGGTAGAGTTCTTGCCTAACATGCATGAAGCTCTGGGTTGATCCCAGAATAAACCATTGTAGTGGCACATGCTTGTGATCCTAACTCTTTGGAGGCAGAAGCAGGATGATCATCTTCAGCTACATAGCGAGTATGAGGCCAGCCTGGGATGCATGGTATCTTATCTTAAAAAAAAAAAAAAGAAATTAAAATTTAAAAATTAAAAAGATAGGGCTGGTGGGGGCTGGAGAGATGGCTCAGAGGTTAAGAGCATTGCCTGCTCTTCCAAAGGTCCTGAGTTCAATTCCCAGCAACCACATGGTGGCTCACGACCGTCTATAATGAGGTCTGGTGCCCACTTCTGGCCTGCAGGCATACATGTAGACAGAATATTGTATACATAATAAATAAATAAATATATAAAAAAAGATAGGGCTGAAGAGATGGATCAATGGTTGATGAGATGGTTCAATGGTTAAAGATTGGTTGTTCTTCCAGAGGACCGTAGTTCAATTCCCAGCATCCACATGGCAGCTCACAACCATCTGTGACTTAAGTTCCAGTGGATCTGACTC